CTACAGTGAGAGAACCTTCAGCCCATGAAAAAAAAAACACTTAGTTCCAGTTCAGACGCCGAACTTTTCATGAGCCGAACCTATTGAATTACTCGTACATGAAAAGTTCGGCATTTTTGCCTAGCCCAGCCGGGAAGAAGTTTCATTTGCATGACCATACAGGTACATATAGTTTACTAATTGCAAGAGCTACTTTAAGAAAGAAGCAGAAAAACTAAAATGTCATCTTATTGCAATTGGCATTACAATTAATTTACGAGACAGTCAAAATGTCAGCGAACAGTTAGCTCTGAAAGTTGAGAGTAAATGTACCCTGCGAGATAGACTACGAGTAGTCCCCCATTTTTCCTCAGGGATAGTAGAAAATTAAATCACCCCACGCGAGAAAAGGCGACACGTCGGCGTGTCGCCTTTTCTCGCGTGAGGTGATTTTCACGCGCGCTCGCGTTTCGCTCGCTCTACTATCCCTGAGGAAAAATGGGGGAATACTCGTAGTCTACCTGCGAGAAGAGGTTTCTGGCTTGCATGGCTCTTAGCGTTCGGTCAGGAGTGAAAAAAAAAACAACTATGCGATTGACAAGCGACACGAACGACTTTTTAAACGCCAAAAGCCTGCTTGCAGGGTAGAGTAAATGGCGATTCACAATGTCACAAGTCCAGTCTAACATACTTCCAAAGCCATCATGATGTTAGCAGTTATGAGTTTCTGATGTAGCCCTATTCATGATGCTAGGCAATTCAAGGTATACAGCATTCAAAGGGAAATTAAAGTCAGTCGTCTTAGGGAGTTAAATTAAGCACTAAAAAAAAAAAGAAAAAAAATGCAAAAGATAAGTGGAGATCGGCATAAACATAATTTTCTTTAATTTACCAGATATGTTTCGACTGTACATCCGTCATCTTCAGTGTTACATATTTTGAAATCGCCGTTGAATTTAAATCGCGCGCGATCTTACAAAGTTCGTTACATTGCGTCGGCAATAACGCGTACTGAAAGTGGAGATATTTTTATAACCAATGAAAATTGTTTTATAGAAGAATAACTTCATAACGCTAGATTGTGAACACATGACGGTCTTTCGTTGGGCGATTGGAAAGGGATTTGCTTCTAAGGAAAGGCTATTACTTTTTTCTCAGTTTGATTTCAATATGATATCCCTTCACGAGCGTCGATCGCGCGGAAATGGGAGTGTACTCCACTTAAAAGTTTCAGGGTAAGTATAACGACATTGACTTTCCTCGTAAATGTAGAATCCAGGCTTTGACGCGCTACGTTTTTTATTGAATAACAATGAAACTTTGTTATAACGAAGACCAAGTGACGCTAGCAAAATATGTTCCTTATAGCGTACTAGTTTTGTGGTAGGAAATAAGCTATAATAAACAAAGTCTTCGGGCCCCCTCTGATGAAGCTATTAAACAAGCAGAGCGAAACTCCTATAAATTCTGTAAACCAATTACCATGACTATTGTAGTATTGATGATGGCTACCAACACGACACTGAAACGAGACAGACAGACGATTGGGCTCATTTTGTAGAAAAATAATTAATCCACGGAGGTTCCGACTGAACCGAGTCAGAAAATATTAAGATATTATGTTATTATGATGGGAAGCATGTGTCAAAGAAGATAAGTTATTTTTGTTGTTTGTCGGTTTGGACCAGTTTTTTGCCAATAACTACTTTCGATGAAATAAAATACAAAGAAAAATTAAATGCCACACAGAATAAAGTGCTGGCATGGAGCCGATTGTTTTGGCAAGGCAGGTCACTAAGTCATTACAAATTTATCATATTATGCCTTGGCAGAGTAGAATGGTGTATGAATTTCTTGTGGCAGATAAATGCATCTTATCACACTTTCACTCTTCTAAGGAGAAAAAGGTTTCTTCACCGCAATTTGATTTTGCTAAACGTTGCCTTCCTTATCTCAAAAAGATTGTTTGTAATTGGCTGAGATGAATCGTCTCTTGTCTCGAGAAGGCTAGAACTTAACCGAATATGTTATTAAAGATTTATTAAATAACTAGTTTGCTAGGTTGACAATAGATTGTTACGCTAAAGTACTTATATTTCTCTATGGCAACAGAACTCCTGGCCACAGCTACCTTGTCATGTAGCTGAAGTACGCATAAGCATAATCCGCACTCCCGTCAAATTTGGAGAAGACGTTTTTGAGGCAGCCTATTCGATTGATATTGATTTCAATTTCCAACATTTGCTTTCATTTTCAATGACACTTGTTAACGGAGAACAGTAAGCTGGATTAGCAGAAAGCAACTAAATATTTCTTTTAAATCATGCTCAACACTGTCATTGTGCTTATGTGTTATGTACTGGCATCGACCGCTTTTGCCGCGGAGAACGTGCAAGTATCCCAAAACTGTGCTCAGCTGGCCTTGTCTACGTCGCATATAACGGCGGAATGGTCCAACATAAAGCCTTACGTATATAATTCTTCATCTAAAAAAATGCAAGGTAAGTTTCCTTCAGTGTTTATTCAAAAATTCATAAGTAAGTTCTCCTCTTATTTTAGAAATTTTAAATGTTAGCTGTTAGTGTCAGAAGTCAACGCTAAGGTGTCGGGGTTAGGGTTAGGATTATTGTGATTCTGGGATGTTTTCGTCTCTACTTGTCTCAAATGGCAAAATCATTAAATCGGGACGCAGATTTATTTTAGTGTGAAGTGCTTTTAAATATTCCATGAAATGCAAACTGATTAAAGTTTTGTTATTTGGAGGCAGGACATTCTTCGTAATAATTTTGTAAAAGCATCGTTTTGTCTTTTCACACTGGAAATATTTCTCACGCATTAAGTGTAACTGCACTGACATTCATTCGCTTCTTTTGCAGTCGGCTAAAGAAGTTTCATCGCCATCTTTCGCTTCACTTCACATGTGTTTACTCTGACTTATCATTTTTAAGGTGTTTCCAGACAGTTTTTCAGAGGCCGTATCGATGTTTTTCGATCGCCTTAAAAGTGTTTTTTTCCTTGTTCGATCGCTGTAAAATTTTAACCAGTAATTGGCTGAACATTCACTGTTTTGACGTTATGCTAATTTTTCCAAAAATAATGCGCACTATACATACCTCCATGATTACTACATTTTAGTTTGAATTTATCTCATCTTTTGAATGTAAAACAGTGACAATACTCACACTGAAATGTGGTAGTCACGGATATATGTATTCCGCATTAATTTGGAAAAAAATGGCATAACGTCAAAACAGTGAATGTTGTAGCGCGGATTTTGACCAGTTCGTAGGTTTGTCTTGAAATTTCAAGGTGTTGCAGAGAATCAATCTTAATGAAAGTTTAAGACACTATTATATACATTTTGAAGATTATGTGAAGAGATTTTAAAAAAATTCGTTCGAGTCGTTTCAGAGATATACAAAAAAGCGCTAAAAGTCCAAATTTTGAATGAAGTTGCACTAAGACAGGTGGTGAGAAAACGGGTTAGTATTTAAAATCGCAAGAACGAAAATACACCAAAATTTCCTTCCATCGAAATATGATATTAAGGAGCAATATGACGCTACTTAAGAATAATTTGAGTCATCTATAACGTTTTTATTACATAATCTATCACGGCTATTGAAATTTTAAGGTTTGAAATATATTTTCGTTTTAGTCGAATTCAAACATACAGAATGTTTTACTTCTTACGGAGGTTATTTGGTAAACACCAAACTTTATGTTCGTAGTGTTGGAGTTTCAGTAGCTGGTCTAGATCGCCCAAAATTAGGCGTTTACCAGTGTCAAAGTTTTTTGTTTATTGTTGTCATAGTTATATCGATTTCACTAAAACCTACATTTTGACAACTTTCAATCTATAGCCAATTATTGGTGAAACTTTTTGGGGCGATTAGACAAGGATAAAATCACTTTTAAAGCGATTGAAAAATATCGGTATGGCCTCTAAAAACTGTATCGAAACACCTTAACAACATTTTCTATCTAGAGCAGCAATCCGCTAAAAAGGCTGGAACCACTCTTAATTTAAGCAGGATTTCTTCTCTTAAAAGTGGACAAAAAAGATCTAAATCCTTCGAAAACAAATGCGTTGCATAATGATTTGTTTGTGATTTGACATGGTTTGTATGTCGAGTGCCTATCGGCTGGTGGGGTTCATCCGTAATATTTGGGGGACGGGTAAGTGCGGTATGATTCTAAAACCATTAGGCTATTTCAGGCTTACATATGTGATACTTTAAGTTCTGTATCATATTTCGGGGCTGAACTACTGTTCTCAGGAGACGCTGATTCCACAAAGCGCATAACTTTTTTTTTCATTACAACTGAAACGGCTAAAATTTATACCCAAATTCCACATCAAAAGGGCTTGGGATCCAAATCCTTTGTGATCGTACATCGCTACAAAACTTAAGTCCCCCAAGACTATTACAAATATTATTTCCAAATATATATTTAACAATTAATTAGTCAGGCTGAATATCATATGAATAATTATGGAGATCGAGGAGGGTGTTATCTGTCGAGGCTGATAATACCCTCCGAGATCTCCATAATTCTTCATATGATACGAAAGCCGAATTCAATAATTGTTTTCATTTATTATTAATTCAATATAATTCCTACTTTAAAAACATAGCCAAAACATGCTTACCTCCATCGATGTTAAGTTCATCTTCAGTGCACGTTTAGGGTTGTTCAGCACCGCAAATATTCTCCAAATAGCAGATGTCGCCCCTTGAGTTGTCTCCTTGCTGTTCTTGCCGTGTTTTTAGTTATTTTTTTTGCCTAGTTCTTACTCTTGAAACGAGTGAAATGTCCGCCATTTTTTTAACAACCAAAACAACTCAACCTCCTCTCCAGGTCTTCTCGGTTAACGGTGTCTTAACCTGCACGAACGCTGCATTTTTGACGTCATTTCCTCGTTAGCCACAAAAATCTTCCAAATTTGGTCATCAGAAACTGGTTATGATGAATTATGCGTGTGGTTTTAACCAAACGGAATCGGGGAAATATTTTGAATGAATAATAATATTTGTTATTTTATTTCATCAGGTCTTCTTGTTGAACTTCTAAAAAAAATGATCAAATCATCTAACGGGATTCATTACAAGAGAAATAACAATCCAAAAAATACCACTCAAGACTTTCAAAACCCCTTTGTGCTTTCCCAATCAAACAGCACAAAAAATACGACTGTTGTCATGCCAGTCATGTTAAAAAAGAACATCCGAGATGACGGCGGGGACCCGTGCCAGATAAAGGTTCATCACTCTAAAGGACCAGTTTATATTGTGAAAAGAAACGTAATGAAACCTTTGACACAACTTGGTCGCTCTTTTATTAATGGAGGACAGATCATTGGTTTGACCCTCATTCTGACTGTTATATCTGGCGTCTTCATGTGGATACTGGTATGTATTCAGTGCTATGCTTAATGCACATAGAAATAAATAACGCATTAATAAGGCGGTTCAAATATACACTGGATTTCAGATCCCTCAGGAAACCAGTTAGTTTCGTTTTCCGAGAGTCCTGACGGTTTCCCGAGACGAAGTCGAGGGAAACATCAGGACTCGAGGGAAAACAAAACTAACTGGTTTCCCGAGGGACCTGACATTAATTAAGTATTTTGTTGTGTTTCTAGACTTTCACTTTAACAGTAACAAAAGAATAACCTGCTCAACCTTAGCCAACCAAAACAGTCGACTCGGTACTTATAACAACACAAATTTAATTCTCAAAATCACTGTATGAATGATTTACAATTTTGAAAGTACTTTCCTTATATTATCTGCATCTTTTTCCTCCACTAGCTGTTGTTAAAAGTCGTTGCTTTTTAACTTGAGCCTTCATGTTTGTGTTGTAGTGTTCATTCACGAAAGAGAAAACTGGCAGTGTTTTTCCCGCCTTCTGTCACGCCACTTAATTTCCACCATGCTTGGATCACGTGCTGCAATGTATCCCTAGCGGGGTTAGCGGGGTACATTGCTTAATGTATCACGATCGGGATACATTTGATTTTGGTCAAGGCCACGTGACCAAGAATCAACCAATTGCAGTCCCTGTTAAGCTGAGTGAAAGTCTAGGAATATTATCGGGCAATAAATGATATTTTCTGGTCAATCAGGTAACTATCAAAAGCTACCGTTTGTTTCAGTACTAAAGAGTCAAGAGGCTAAGGTGCTCTCTGATCTTCTTGTAAACTTTGGAACGATTTCGTCCCTGAAAATCCCATCTCGATTGGCGCAACCCCTGAGTCTACGAGGATGGGAAGAGAGCTGTAGAACTTAAAAATAAACAAAATAAGTAAAAGGGCGCAAACTATGTCACTGACGAAACAACTAGACTACTGAAAAAGATTCATAAGGCAATTGTTAAAATCCAGAATCTCCGGCTGTCTTTATGTTATGACTAATGAATTGTCTTCAGTCGTTTCTCATACGTTTTCCTGGTAGCGCCATTAGGCTGATTTAGCAACAGGACGGGAACGTCAGTTGACGACGGGAAAGCGCGCGGAAAGGACAAAACACGACTTCCGGTGCCCAATTTGCCGCTCTGCTATTGGTCAAGCCAGTTGTTTAATTTGCGCGTTCCGTCGTCAACTGACGTTCCCGTTCTGTTGCTAGATCAGCCTATTATCTTTACTTGGCCACAGAATAGAGCCGGCGGACAGCTTGTTCTCAGCTGACAAAAGTATTGTCAATTCAATACATTGAGATATTGTGTTAGCTTTGTATACAAAAGTGCAGCAAATTATGCCCATTTTTTTGCAGGATCGGCGTAAGAATCCGATAGATTTTCCGCCTTCCTTTATAAAAGGTGCTTGGCAAGGATTCTGGTGGGCTTTCGTTACCATGACAACTGTTGGGTAAGTAAAAGTTCAATTACTTGTGAAAAGTGTGAGGGCCACCAAACCCGAGACATCTCAGCTTCTCTCAAATTACCCGAAACAGGTGATAGGTAAAATAAAGATCGATAAAGACAAATGTAGAGAATTACATTGGCATAATCCAATGTTTCAAACATCTTCCGGGCCTTAAATATGCAATGAATACGATGAATGTTACTGAGGTACGTGACAGGCCTCTTTGTACAAACACTGGTTGTTTACCATTTACATGGTCAAACCGGTCGCTTCACGGTTTGGGTAAATGGTTCGCAAAGTTCAGGACTAATAAATTTCGTCCCGGAATCGCGTTTAACATTGGTACAAATCAGTTCAATTTACCGAAAAACGAAGGCCTGAAACTGGTATCAAAAAAAAGATGGCTTTGAAGAAATGGAACACGAATTTCCGTCTGGAATATTCCATCCGGAAAAATAGGACTACCTTTTCAGATGTTCCGTTGCTCTCGGGAATTTTCCGTTGGGAAGCGGACCCAAAAAGTCGTGTTCCATTTACTCCAGTTCCAACCGGATTTCCCGAAAAATTTTTGTAAATGGTAAACAACCACTGTAACTTTTTGGGTTTGTTGTAGCTATGGCGACACTGCACCTAAGTCCTTTCCAGCTCGGTTGTACAGCATCTTGTGGATGTTATTAGGAATGGTGGCATTTTCTGTGCTCACAGCCAACTTTACCAGCTCATTGACTCATGAGATTGAAGAAGACTTGAATCTCTTCGGTCGCACAGTAAGTAAATCATTGACTCCGCCTTAAACCAGTATAGGATTCTGTGGTGTTGCTCGGAAGCTTTGATCATATCAACAAGAAATTTTGCTAATTCTTGACTCTGTTCTCTGATTTTATAACACTCTCTATTGAATCTTTCCCGTTTTTTATAGATTTTAGTGAAACAAGCTTAATTTCAGTGACAAGGTATATCGGAAGTCTTATTACTGAGCTTAATTAGAAAAGTCGGCAAAGAAATTTTAAAACTTGCGATTTGTTTTTTTTATATGCCGGTAGGTTGCTGTATTAAATGGAAGTTTGGCAAAGCAAGCTGCAGTGTCAGAGGGATCAAAATATGAAGGTAAGTTTGGAAAACAAACAAAAAGCACGAAAATAGCCTAAACATTTTGAAATAAAGCAATGTATAGCAATTTACGAAATTATGCCACCTTGTTAAACGTTGTATACTATTTTTCAAAAGCCTTAGCTTATAAAGCCTCATAACAAACAACTGAGCTTTTTAATATCTCTGTGGGAAACTTTGCAGCCTCATTTAAAATAATGACGATTGTTCTTCAGTGAAAACTTTTCTTTTTAGATATCCTTAGTTAGATATCACCCTAAGCTACTTAGCAACCAGTGGCGGACTCGTAGTCGTAAAGTGGCCCACGCATTTCTCGATTGAATTGTAAATTACATAAGTCCCAAAACTTAGAAAACTTAAATAAGTCCAGAATATATTTACCGGGGAGTAGACATCCTCGGAGACCCAGGGGCAGTCGGTCGAGCCGGGCCTTTTCTCCCGGCTCGACTGACTGCCCCTGGGTCTCCGAGGATGGGGAGTAGAATGAAGAAACTAACCCCTATAGCTAGTATAGTACAAAAAGAAAAAAAAGCATGGCAGAGTTTGATCAAGCACATAATCGCTCCAGTGCTATTTTAATTTATAATCATTAACATTCATTCAAAATATTTTTACGTTTCTGATTGGCTTTACAATCTACTGCCAAATTCTTTGTAGCTTGCTAATTTTCGCCAGATTTGGAAGATGTTTGCCGATATCAATGAGATCGAAGAAAAAAAAATACCCCTCGCTTTCGACCACTGCTATAACAGGAATTTTGCTGCTAGAATAAAAACTGAAACCGACAAGTGAAAATCAAGTGTTTTGAAGACGGGAACTTTTGAGACAAGTGTGTTTTGAGCTAGGAAAGTATTTAAAATAAATATTAAAACAATGATCGAATTCGGTTTTCGTACAATATGCATGGAGAATCATAGAGATAATCATATAGGATGTTTTCTGTATAATTCTTCATATCAGTACTTAACTTAGCCCCATCAAATAATAATATTGGTTATAGAAGGATGGTTTTTGCTTTGACGTAAAGCAAGCTTGATCTTACGCAGTTTATACCAGACCAAGACCTCCAAAATTGGGGCACATTTGGCTACTGCCCCGCCAAATAGAAACATATTCACCTGGATAGTTAGAAGATCTTTAAGTGTAATATCACACAAAACGGAACTAAAATTTAATTTGCTTTGCGGGAAATTCCCAAACTCTCTCGTTTTAAAATGATAACTTGATTTAGTTTTTTAAATATTTTTATTGATATTAATGGAATTGATGGTAGCCCTCTCCTCTCAAAAGTAAAATTAAATATTGGAGTGATACCTTCACACTAGAAAGTTTTTTTAATGACCCACACTTCCCCTCAATAAATAAAAAGTGGTGCCCAATCTTATGGGGGACGGGAAGCTTGATCCGTCCGCCACTGTGTCTTTTTGTCAGCACAGACGACGTCACTCATTTTTAGCTTGCTCTTCGCCACAAGCAGCCCAATAATAAAACATGCTAAACTTCTAAATTTAAGTCGTCTTTTGTTTTGTTTCAGCATTCAACAACGTTGAAGACATGATTGTATCTCTGACTGGGGGAACAGTTGTGAAGGGTTTACTGTTAGATAGACACGTGGCTGTATCGAATATGGGGAAATTCCGAGAGAATTCACTGGAAATTGGACGAACCCTGGATTATGATTACTACATCGGGCTGTGCGTCCGACCTCCTTACAACTCAACGGTCTGTGAAACTATGAAGAAATGCGTTCAAGACATTGTACAAAGCGAGGCATTTGAACTGGAAGCTTTAAAGGTCTGTAATGAACTTTTTTAAACAACGATCATAATTTAACAATTAATGAATGAGGCTGAGTATCTGATGAAGAATCAGGATGGAGACCGAGGAGGGTGTTATCTGTCGAGGCCGTAGGCCGAGGCGGATAACACCCTCCGAGATCTCCATAATTCTTCATATGATACGAAAGCCGCATTCAATAATTGTTTTATTATTCAGTCAAAATAATTCCTAGTTTAAAAAAACATGTCTAAAACATGCTTACCTCCATCGATCCATCGATGTTAAGTTCATCTTCGATAGAGCACGTTTAGGTTTGTCCAGCTCCGCAGATATTCTCCAAATAGCAGATGTCGCCCTTCGAGTTGTCTTCTTGCTGTTCTTGCCATGTTTTTAGTTATTTTTTCGCCTAGTTCTTACTCTTGAAACGAGTGAAATGTCCGCCATTTTGTCAAGTTCACAACCAAAACAACTCAACCTCGTCCCTAGGTCTTCTCGGTTAACGGTGTCTTAACCTGCACGAACGCTGCATTTTTGACGTCATTTCCTCGTTAAACGCAAAATTTTCCAAATTTGGTCATCAGAAACTGGTTATGGTGAATTATGCGTGTGCTTTTAGCCAATCAGAATAGGGGAAATATTTTGAATGAATAATAATTAACAGTTAATGAATGAGGCTGAGTATCTTATGAAGAATTATGGAGATCGAGTATGGAGCGTTATAATAATTTAATAATAATTTACCAATTTATATAGCGCGTATTTACATTTGCTGATCAATAGCGTTTTACAATCATATGTTTAAAAGAAAACGAAAATACATTACCGTGAGAATAAAATAAACTAAGTTACAAACTATAAAAATACTTTTTAAAAAGATAGGTTTTAAGTCGAGATTTAAAACTGTTAAGTGATGTTACTGCACCTAAGTCCTTTCCAGCTCGGTTGTACAGCATCTTGTGGATGTTATTAGGAATGGTGGCATTTTCTGTGCTCACAGCCAACTTTACCAGCTCATTGACTCATGAGATTGAAGAAGACTTGAATCTCTTCGGTCGCACAGTAAGTAAATCATTGACTCCGCCTTAAACCAGTATAGGATTCTGTGGTGTTGCTCGGAAGCTTTGATCATATCAACAAGAAATTTTGCTAATTCTTGACTCTGTTCTCTGATTTTATAACACTCTCTATTGAATCTTTCCCGTTTTTTATAGATTTTAGTGAAACAAGCTTAATTTCAGTGACAAGGTATATCGGAAGTCTTATTACTGAGCTTAATTAGAAAAGTCGGCAAAGAAATTTTAAAACTTGCGATTTGTTTTTTTTATATGCCGGTAGGTTGCTGTATTAAATGGAAGTTTGGCAAAGCAAGCTGCAGTGTCAGAGGGATCAAAATATGAAGGTAAGTTTGGAAAACAAACAAAAAGCACGAAAATAGCCTAAACATTTTGAAATAAAGCAATGTATAGCAATTTACGAAATTATGCCACCTTGTTAAACGTTGTATACTATTTTTCAAAAGCCTTAGCTTATAAAGCCTCATAACAAACAACTGAGCTTTTTAATATCTCTGTGGGAAACTTTGCAGCCTCATTTAAAATAATGACGATTGTTCTTCAGTGAAAACTTTTCTTTTTAGATATCCTTAGTTAGATATCACCCTAAGCTACTTAGCAACCAGTGGCGGACTCGTAGTCGTAAAGTGGCCCACGCATTTCTCGATTGAAT